ATGTATTATTTTCAAGGCAGCTAAATTCAAGTGCAACATATACATTGAGCTGCAAAAGTTTCTTATCATCTACATCCGATTTCACCTGGATAGATGCACGCTTGATAAAGCTAGTTAGTCTAGCGAAATATTGCGTTTATTTTCATCATTTTGTAAATATTTTAAACATTCTTATATTTACATACTAAATAGTGTGTTAAAATTACATTGTTAGGCAATCTATATATATATATATATATGTACAGTCGTGTTGATAAACAATTTAAGAATAAACAAGTGAAATTGTTTTCTCTTTTTTAAATTTGCAATAAAGGGATTGAAATGGGTTTTGTGACATAAACAGAAACCATGATTGCTGTTTTAAAATAGAAAATCATTACACAGCTTGTTTGATATAAATTTTAAGACAGGTGTCGAAAGTAAAATGAATGACTTGTACAAATAATTTCATGAGCAGTGGCAATACCTATTAAAAATAACTGTTAGGACAGTTCTAATACTACGAGTATCCAAGTATTATTAAGTATGATCTTAACATAAGTATTATTTACTAACATAATAGTGTATTATATATATGAACATTAAAATAAATTTATATCAATCTGTCCATTTAAGAGTTACTACGGATAGACAGTAAAATGACAACGTATAACTAGTGTCTCCTGATAACAAGTCCCACCCCTTTCCACCTATACATATTAGCTAAAGTTTTAAAATTACCAAATTCCTAACAGCTTTTTTTTATTCTTGTGTGGATATAGGTTTAAATGTGATGTGTCCGAAGCACTTTGCTGGATTTACCTCCACCAGGAACGCTCAACAACAAACATTTGAATGCTAGCGATGTCTAAATACTGAATACTTGAGGAGCGCTATATATGACAAAAAGGGGACATAAAAAGACTGACTATATCAAACTAAGGTCAACGTGCGGCCTGAAATCAGCATAGTTGTATGCTAGACTACTCTCTCTTTTTTACGAGGATGACCGTGAGGGACAATGATTCATTGAATTATGTTAGAGGTAACATAACATGTACATATTACAAATAGTTGAGAAAATGACCATATCAGTGCCCTACAATTGTATATACAGTGTAGTTGTCTCATCGGCAATCATGCCACATCTCCTCATTCGCGATCATACCACATCTTCTCGTTGCCAATCATTTCACATTTCATAACTTTTATATAATATATAAGATTATGGAATTGATCACGCGACATGCGTGCAGATGACGGGGAATGCACTTAATTCGTCGTCATCATCGAACGATACAGTATCACTTACAATCAGGGACTTGTTAAACGTATTTACATAATTGATAAAGTATCTCATATAGATACACTAATTTTTAAATAATACATGAATGTATATATTTAGAATATATATTCATATTTATATAATTATGATATGTTTTCAGAAATGTTTTATTTGTCCATCGGTGATTTTTTAAATCATTAATTTCAATATTTCTAATTTGAAATCAGTTTTCAAGAGATTTTTTTTATCTCATGACTTAAATTACAATTATAATTTTATACATTCTTAACATTATTCTATATATCTAGTTAGCACCGTGGAGAGAATTTACTATCATGAGTATACACTTTTAGAATCTATATATTTTGAGTTCAATACACCGTTGACACTGAAGAAATGTTTGATAACTAAAAAAAGTATTTAAAAAAAGAATCATTTCAAATAAATGCAAAGAATAGCAAAAAAGTAATGTTTCTTTCCTTTAGCTTTAAGCAAATGCATATTGTGGTATGTGTCATGACATAATGCACAAAACCCTCATTTCTAGTGAATAGAATGAATATTCGAGTGAAAAATTGCTCGTGTTGTGTCGAGCAGCTGATATTTTACAAAATCAATAATGTGATGAAAATCTGATAATCGATTTATCGGATTGTATTTGTGTGGTTTTTTTTATGATAGACCAATAGTTTTTTCTTTGTTTCACTAGCAAACCGGTAGATGACTTGATAAGTAATGGTCAAACTTAAATATATCAACGTCGGTAATAAGTGTGGGTCAACTTATTTGATACCACAAAGCCATGCTTGATATGCATCTTTACGAAGAGCGGAGTGATAAAAGCATAGGGAAGTACGATAAGCACTTGTTTCCGATCGACTCTCTGAATTTTCAATATCGCAAATAGTCAAATTTATAGATGTCTTTGCTGATTAACTTATTGTGTTATGTTGCTCACTCAATCTCTCATTTTGAAAATGATGGAAATCTGTATCATTTACTACCTAAACTTCAGGTCTATGGGCCATCCGAGTTAACAGTACGTCAGTAGTTTGATTGTTATTGTTTTGTGTTTTTATTTTCCGTTCTTATAAGAGAGTACAGGATTTTTTTTTAAGGAGTGCGTATCTTTTTAGTACAATATTGTTCACTGAAACATTTCAGTCATAACACATATAATAAAATTTCCCCGTCAACTTCTCGAAGTTATACACGCGGCCATAGCGAAATCATAGATGTGATTATAATTAGATTTATTAATTACTATTTATTGTAAGCTGAACATGCATGTAACAAATGTCAAAGGGTAAATTAGCAAACGAAGAAGGGGACCAGTCCAGTGTACACGTAGCAATTTAAAATAGCAAGCGAATCCACCCCTTTCTGGACATATACAGCACTGATCAATGATATATTTAAGATAACGTACTGTGAGATAGTTTTGCTATTCTATTTACTCGCATAATATTTTGTTTTCTACAACCTTGTACCAAATATAGTGTTAAAGAATGTGCCAGTAGAGTACTCGACAGTATTTAGGATCAATAGGTTCAAACGATGCGCGTTCCATAGACAATTTAGTGTCAACCTTCCTATTACACGGATTTCAATGGTCACAACACGAATATTATAGACATATATTTTCGCTTACTTGGAAACATGACCACTAAAATGTTTTCCGGTCCAACAAGGACTTCCGCCGATGCAATAGTTTCCTCACGGATGTCCTTGTCTGTCATGCTTAGAAATTCATCCCGATAGAACTTGCTGTAAAACCAGTCAAGTTGGTGTAATTATATTGACTCTTAGTGTTGAGTTTTTTTGTACATGTGCTAGTAGTCCGAACACCGTAAGAGCCATGCAAATCTAAAGATGTTATGAGGAATTCAATGAAATAATTTCATCCAAATTGCAAGAAAACTAAAAAAGCAATTGCGTATCATGTTAAAATATTTTCGGCTCCTTAAACCATTAAGAGATGTTCGTTTACCACTTAACCTATATCCAATATGATTTTAAAACTTCTAAAGAATATTAAAACATACACTTAATCAAATTAAAAATTCAAAAGTTGAAATACTAAAGATCAAAATCTACTGGCATACTACCAAAACCTCTTATCAAGAGGAATTCTTTAAAAAAAATCAATAAAAGTGGATCAAATGTAACCATTCCCGTTATGGAATTAATATGATATCCCTTTTTTCGTCCAACATTTTTCCTCATATATAACTTTAAAGTCATATGTGTTGAGCAAAATCTGTTAAAATAATACCGAACTTCTTTGCAAGTAGAACGCAATGAAAAAAATCTCATTCACATTGAAAGAACACTATAAAAACAGTATGTATACCCAAGGGGGGGGGGGCTTTTTTGACGATCAATGCTTTTGAATGGGGACATATATTTGGAACACCCCCCCACACTTTTTATCCTGGGTTGGAACCCCCTTTTAAAAATGGCTGGATCCGCCTTTGATATCAAAATATGTAAAAGTGATATTTTCTATCTCCTTTTATGTTCTTATAATATATCCTTTAGGGTTTCTACAAATGTTATTGAAAGTGCAAGCAGACATTTCTTATGAAATTCAAAGAAGAACACCACATCAAAGTTAATCTTTAAATGAGAAAGTCTTTGGTTTGGACCCCGAGGGTCCCTTTTTCTCGACAAAGCAAAGATTGTATCTAATGTGCTGACCCATGTAGGGATTTGTATGCACAATAGAAATACTATATCAAAATCTGATGGGGGAAAAAAACTCATTTTAGATCCTTTTTGGTTCTTTTTTTAGAAACGGTTGAGTCCTATATCCCACAAAATTAATTGTTATTTTTTAATGAAAAATAACTTCAAATCTAAATAGGGATAATTCAACTACAACTAACACAAGTTTGAACAACTAAAACCTACGCTCCATCCATACACCATGCCCGCATTTAAGCAAAACGATGAAAACCTGCAAAAACGCATTTGCAGATTGCCGGAAGTACTAGTTACATATAGCTTTCTTTTTTAGATAATTTTATTTTTTTTAAAAGGGTAAATTAACGGCCTGATTTGTGCAAAAACAATACAGGATAAAATACAACAGACAGCAACCATCAACATCCACTGGATTACAGACTCTTAAATTTGGACGGACATATAAAGAATGTGGTGAATATAAACATGTTTGTGAGCGCTCAACCCTACCCTAACCTAGGAAATAGGTGTAACAGCACAACATAAGTACAACTGTAAAAATCAGTTGGAAAGGGCGCAATTGACGCGTCATGCCGGTATAAAGTACAAATACTAACAAGACAAGACACACAGTACTCCCATAAACTGAATGCTTTTTCAAAGCTCAATTAAAATATCAATCAGTACATCTCCAATGGATTTATTGTAAAGTCGTCATAACTTGGCAAAAGATGAGACATTTATAATTATTGTAGACCTTTTCTTTTTTCTGTCGCTGGGTTGCTGTCTCATTATTCACATCTTCTTTTATTCATTTGTTTTAACGCTCAACCCACACCTGACCTTGGACAGAAGTGCAACACCAAAACATGTTTTTTCCCCCGCATTGACATACACGCTTGATTGCAGATGCATGCACATTATAGATGACTGTTGTGATATTGATTTCAATATAAGTTATTCCATCTGTCATACACATTTAAGTATTATTTTTCATGTTTAACACATGTTGTTTATTACTGTATTCAAAGGCAAATAAATAAAAAAACGATATAAACTTAACTTTATTGAGCTTATTTAAAAGAATACCACAACACACTTTATCGACACAAACATTTGGCAATACGGTGATGAGTATTTTTCTTCACACTATGAAATATGATGAATATTCATTCTCGCACTTCTTTGTAGTATCAGTATCATCGCAATATGTTACATTTAGACAACAATGTACTTTTGTTTTCAAACAGAATAATAACAAATCATTTATGTTAAACCTTATTTGTCTCAAAATGACCATATTTATTGTAGGAGTTTCCGATTCGATTCTATTATGTTTTAAAATTCCTTTGAGTATTTCGATCTTCTCTTTTTTTTTAGCAGACACAAACATAATACACATTACAACTGATCAATAAATATATAAACATTTACATTCCTGACATTCCATTCCATTTCACAAGTATACATATAGTTAGTATGTAAAACATTTACTATGGTATAAAACATTTCATATAATCATTTACAAGTTTTTGTCTCGGATGGTTCCATTTCAAAATATGCAACATTTGTATGTTCGGTTCGACCCTCTACCAGTCAGCGAATCCTTCCCCTTGTGCCGATAACTAGAACGAACTTTTTTCTTCTTGGATAAGCTTATGATAACATATAGTAAACACTGCCGTTTCGCTATCAAGAAAGGGAATTGCAGTAAGTCAATCTACACAAATACATTAAACTGATGAAAATGCATTAAAAATTCTCACAATTGCCTAGACCTCGGAATCTGTTGTCGTCATAGGTCTATTTTCCTTAAATCTCGCATATAAAGTAACAAAGTTTGAGCAATGATTAGAATTTAGATCCCTAAAATCGAAAATTACCTGATGTGTGCATGCTTCAATTTATAATGCATGGTATTTTCAATATAAAAATAGACACGAATAACACAAAAATGATAAAGTAAACAACTATTAATTATGGCACTAAACATGTAAATAAAATTATTTTTAAAACTTTCTTCCATTGTTTAGAACCCAATGCCGGTATTTTCACCCATACATACGATTTTTACAGTTTTTTACTCTTAAAAAAAATCATATCTCGAGACATGTTTTTTTGTAGAAATTTCAATAAATTACAGGATTTTAGGAGCTTCAAAAGGAAGAATATTTCGAATACTGCTTTGCCTTTGAAAATGAATTGATAGGTTGAATAATTGCAGATATCGCATTTGACATTTTTTACCAGGTTATATTAAAATTTTCTTCGGTTTGTCATTTCTAACGAGATATTTCATTGAGCTCGATTAAATATCACGTGAGAGTAGAAAATAACATCTCTCTTATCAGCTTCATCTGCATTAAATTTTTTAAGTATTCAAATAAAATGTATAATAGTAAAAAATACTAAATATTTGCCAAATTCTTTCAAAACTGTAGTTTACAGTCAAGTATAAGAAGGACTGCTTGTGAGGAAATAAACATACTTGAGAAATTAGACCATTTAATATTTTATACTTGTGATCAAGGGTTTACGAAGGAAAGTCGTCATAATGACCATTGCTATACAGTGCGCAAGTTCACAACAGTAACAGTTTGATTCTACAAATAACAACAAAACAAAACACTAATAGCCTAATGGCAAGACATTGCAATACAAAGCATATAAAACAACTACAAGCCTGGACTCTTTCCTATATAACATTGTACAATCAGTTTTCATTGTAAATATCCACAAGTTTACATTCGGAATATAACAAACAGCAAGCGTTTTTTCACATCTCGACTTTTTGAACCAGCTTATCTCCAATTACTACAGAATCTTTATGTGAATTTACAATTTCATGATTGAAGTTGATAATTCGGGCAATGCTATAGTTAGGTCTAATCAAGTTCGATACTCTAATTTCAAAAGCAATAAGTTATTTTTCTGGCTAAAACAATATCCCATTTTGATTAAAATTCCTTTAAACTTTTGAGTTTATAGCCAATAATGCAAAGTCAATGATAGAAAAGGTTAAATTTGTTGATTATATCTTAAAACGCTTCTGCAGTTATTTGATTAGACGAAGAGAGACGTATGAACTGTCAATGTTAGCTGATGCTACAACTTACTTTTCTATTCACAGATTAATCAGCTAATCATCTAACGAATTACTTGAATGTATAATGCGAGGTCACGTTTCATTTCTATTAGATACATAAAATAATTTCATTTCGTTGTAATCTGACTTTGGTATTGATGTTGTAAGAAAAAATATCTGGTTATAAACCCTGCACACATATAACAACTAAATTCTTGACAATTAACAAAGCACAAATATAAAAGTTTCATTTATATTAATCAAAACGCTTTTGGCAAATTTTAGAGAATAGCTTTACAAATATCTCTTAAAAAATCTATCGCTAATACAACAAATTGCAATAACTATAAACCTTACACTAATTGTAGTAAAAAGCATTACACTAAAATAGATACGGAACAATTCTGTGTGGTACTCTCTCGCAATAGTCCGTCCAGAAGGGGCCATACTTCAAACTACATTTGTCGTCGTCTCGGTAGCTACGGTGCGTTAAGAGTACAGTGAGGAAAATGACGTAAGAAAATGGCATGAAATTCTCAAAGCCTGCTGGTAATGTCCAGAACAAGGCTAACAAAATCTCAGGTATGTAGTGGAAATGGCGAGAAAGTCCCCACCATCCGGAGGCTAGAAGTATACTTTCCTTCTCTTGTCCATCCTCAAGCGTATATTTGGCTCTTATGATGTTCGGTTTCTTTCCCCATATGAGACAATCACCGTCTGCTGATCGCACACGTTGTTTCTGCCAGTCTGCGAAATAATTAACAGAGATCGCCAGTAGTCCACAGGTTAAAATAAATGTCGACCAGAACCAACCAAGATAAACGGGGTTGTTTACTAGATAGAGGCTAACTGAGGCATATAAAGAAGGTACATATACTAAGCATCCCCAACATATATAATATCCAGCGCGGTCAACCATGATGTCTATTGTGCTTAGATATCCTGCTTCCCACCAAAAGAACTTTGAGATATATGCCAATTGCAAAATTGCTGATACGACCATACTATCAACAAATCCATGAAGTTCGTAGCTCTTTAAAGCATGTATATAAACAAGCACGGCCCAAATTGTCATTCCAAATCTACAATTAGTGAAGACTTTGATGTCAACTCCAAGTACACGAGGATAGAGTTCGGTTCCCCAGTAATAGTCAAATATGATGTTTCCAGAAGACCCACAGTCAGTTGAAGACGGTGAATATAACCCTTTAATGTATAGAAAGATGCAAAATATAGCACTTAAAACATTAAGTGTTCCGAGAATGTCACCAAAGTTATCATAAACTACAGATGGCGACAAGTTATACGTCTTAAGAATAACGGTCAAAAGAAATAAAGTAGTCATGGTAACGACATAATGCGAGAATCCATTGTCTTTGTAAACTGGAGTGTTTCCTTTTGGAGTAATTGGACCTCTGACCTGCTTTCCTGGTAAAAATTTCATCAACAGTAATGCCCAGATGCAATAGCCAAATACGACAGAAAGTGCGAAGTTGCTGCAAATATTAACATCTCCCCATAACTCCTTTAAAGAGTCCAACATTGACGCTTGGGTAATGGAATGGACCATGTTTCCGTAACTCCCTTTGTGTTTTGTAGCTGTGTACCATAACAACATAACGAAATTTGGTGTTGATACCATCAGGAACACAGGAACAAATATTTTATTGAAAAAATCCCGGTTACGCTGTGTAACACCAATCTTTTCCAATTTTTCATATCCTTCTTTGTAGCCATGGAAACCATTACTCAACATGTCTGATCCCGTTACAAGGTCTTGTTGCTTCGAAGCGTTTTCCTTTCTCTTCGACATATCTTATCTAAAATTAAATCAAACTTAAATAATCGAGAGGGTATATACAGTGCTTTTCGTCTGGTAAACATCAATCAAAGTGATGAAGTTCGGTGACAAACAGTACTTTTTCTTACTTTGTTGTAATTTTAAGCTTTTTTTATTAATCTGTTGTGTGTGATGTTGTGTGATAATGGATATTTCTGTATTCGCACTTAATGGTGTAAATGCAAATAGAATTATTTTTAAATTGTTAATTACTAGTAGACTCGAAAGATATGATAACAGTCAGATCCTTATCTCAATTTGAGAAGGAAGTGGTTATCTTCTTACAAGGACTGCGTTTCCGGTACGATTTTTAAAAAAAAGCATGTAGCGTTTATGCAGTGATGCATAGAATTTTCAATCGCATTGATACATGAATTTGGCTATCTTTGATGTCAAATATATGCAGGGGATCCATTCCTAATATCAATTATCAAACTCATGCATGGAAGTAATATAATAAATCCATGATTTCTGCAACAATTTTTGAAAAAGACTTCTTTTTCCGTAGAATCAATTGTTTATCTACGTTCTGAGATATTGACAGTTTTATATAAATGCTGAATTAGAAGTTAACTAGGATTTCAACTCACTCGGGCTAATTTGTAGTCCATTAGATGTTCATTATGTATTTGGTTTCTCAAACATTTGATGGCCAGCGTTCCTTTGGAGGGAGGGACAATATAGAAATTGGATACTGACGTGCAGTTGGGATTTAAATAAACACCAACATTTCATAAATTGAAGTTCATTTAAATATTTCAATGAAGCATCTATGTATACCCTCTTTTTTATGCTTGTTAGCTCCCTCCTGGTTGTAAAAACTCAAGGCGTTCTTAATCAAGATTAACTGAAAATGTGTACAGAATTTTCCAAAAGCTGTGCAGTTTGCTTGTATTACTTCCACCTGTATCAACATTCACTCGTAAAACACATTAGTAAAGTAGAAATAAAAGACAACAGAGGCTCCCGATGCCCAAAAATGAGGTTCTTAGTGTCGCAAATCAAATCGATGGGCGGGAGTGTAGTTAGACCTAGACCTGAGCCAGGGCTGAGTGGTGCGTGTGCCCCCAATTTCATTGTTGAAATGGAAGCAAAACTGTGTCATTTTTTTCAAATATATAAATATATATGCATATCTAATAACCGTGTATAATTAACTTTTCAGTGGCATTTGAAATACATTTTAACAAAGTGCACCTGAGTACTAATTAAAGGATACACGAAAGTTTACTTCATGAACTCTCAAAATCCATGTACTTGAAGTATTTTTATCTTCATGTAAAATTATATCATATGCAATTAAAGTAACTAGTTGCTACGTCTACATGTTGATATATGTATATATGAAAAATGTAAATTAACTTACAAGCTGTGCATTTATCAGTCCATGTAGATATTTATAAAACATGTACACTCGGCTTGTCGTGTGTTATAGCATAAGTTTATACTTATGACGACCTTTTAAGCCATCACATTTCTCGTGTATGATCTCTTATATGACATACCTCGTTTATTAATTTGTCCTTCAGGTAGAAGCCTCTGGCTCTAATCCTGCACACGACCAGACCAATACACTTCTAAAAAAAGCATAAAAATGTCATCCACTTAACAGATAGCTATGAAAAAGGTGATCAAAAGAAAATTCCCTGTCACTAAAAAAAATATTTCAAAAAGAAAAAGCACCACGTTATAACATGTGTCAGTCTGATAAATACTACGAGCAGATTATACGAGATAAATCAGAATTATACACAGATATGTATCTTCCTGTTGAGGGAAATGAATGACTATTTATAACTGTATATAATACGTTTTTTGTTATAGAACATTTCGAACAAAACGCAATTCTTCAGTACTATTACGAACTAAAGCTTTTATCGATCACATGTCCAGTTATAAACAAGAACTGACATGAAAATTGCATTTCCCATCTCATGGAACAGAAGTTCCTTTAAAATGTAAGTTCTAAATAGAAGAAATATTCTGGACTATTAATTCTACTCGAAGAAATATATCAGTTTTTTTGTTTCTGACGGAATAAAAAAAGTATAGAATATTTATTCCGACAGTTTATAGCAAAGTTTCCAAAGGAAATTTTGTCAGGTAGAAAGAATATAATTGACTCTCGAACACCATGAAGGGTGGATATGTAGAAATATCATTTTGTCACAAGATCCCACGAGGGTACGGTACATTAGGAAAAAAGTCGGATGTAAAGATTTATATGCTAGTAAGTCATCTGTCGGATTGCGTTTCCTGTGTCATGGAACGGAAGTTCCTTTTTAATGTAAGTACTAAATGGAAGAAATTTTCCGGAATATCAATTACATTGGAAGAAAAATTACAGTTTTTTTTGTCCCTGACGGTATTACAACTCAAGTATAGAATATTTATTTCAACAGTTGATAGCAAAGTGTCGATAGGAAATTTTGTTAGCTGGAACAAATACAATTGACACTCGGACACCATGAAGAGGGGTTAAGAAAACAATAGCATTAGTCACATGATACCATCAGCTAGGATAGTACAATGAAAAAAAGTCCGATGTGAAGATTTGTATACAGTCTATTGCCGGATTAAACTTAAGGGATTTTGACACGTGTAACACGAATGTTCTTGTCTTCCTTCCATCACTACAGTTAATCAAGTACATTTCAAGTGTCCATGTTCTCTTTGAAGTGTTTTAGTTTAAGTGTTTTACATAACACCAACATTAATATTAGCTTGGCAACAGACCACAACTTGGCCTTATCACTTTAACTTCCTTCTTCTTATGTAGAAGTGTTCACTTAACAATATTCATTCTACCGATTTAAGATTGATCGTTTGGTTGCTATACTTCAGTGGCAACTATTTCAGGCTACTTTAGAACGAACAAGTAAGACCATACAACAGAGTTTTTGATATGCATTGAAAGAGAGAAGACAAAGAGAAGAACAGCATAATTTTGTCTACCCTGTTGGGACTATTACATTGCATACAATGTATGGCAATTTTTCTGCAAACAAGACCCATACTGGGTTTGCACCTGCGTCGCTGAATTCAATTGATTGAGGTAACATATACACTGAAACATAACTGATGAAGATGATTTCCAAAACTATGTTCAATTTAACTTCAATTAAAGTACTTTCAATGATGTAATGTTAAGGGAGAAAATTTTCCTTGTACAATGAGTGTTACAAAATTTCAAACAATCAGCAAACGAGAAATGGTTGCACGGCAGATGTAAAAATTGCTTATTCGCTATTACTCAACATTATCAACCTCCAGACAAATATAAAAGCATTCCCTTCCATATAGAAGCCAAGGAAATTTTGACAAAAAAAGAGTATTGTAAAATTTCAAACTATCAGCAAACAGGAAGTGGATGCAAAGCAGTTCTAAAAATTGCTTCCACGCTTCAACACACCAGTATCAAACTTTGACGAAAGCTATCTACTGGCAAGGTCTTTCGGACGGATGGACGAACGCGGACAGATCGACGGAGTAAGGCGGTTACTAGACTTGCTTTCACTATTAGCGACGAAATTAAAATTACTAGCGAAATTTCTAAAAGAAATTGCCTATTTTTTTTGAACTAGTTAAAATCTAGCTTTTTTCTTATGTATTTCTGTTTTCAACAACTTACCAAAAAAAAACCTAATAAACATGAAATAGCACAATATACTTAGTGAGTATAAAAACACATCCAAACTGGAAAATATAAAAATGTTGACAGAGTATAATGAGAGTATATGAATAAATAAATGAATGAATGAATGGATAAATTAAAGATTATTTCTTAAGAACAATTACATTTTTACTAAAAGTTTGTGGGACTGATGAAGGTAGGGTAATTTTACAAGCCACTGGAAAATGAAGGCCCGAAATTAGCCTTGCAGGAAAAAAAGTTCAACATAAATCGCCTTTTAACAGACAAAGAACGTGACATTCTTCTTTTTAATTTTTTCAGTAAAACAGTAACGAGGTCACAGACTGTTCACAGAACGTCCACATATGCACTTAATATTTAGGATCCATTTATACAGTGTGTAGGTTTCAACTCCATCACGAAAGTCGACATTGGATGGATTTGGTTATTACCTTTATGTCCTTTTTGGTCATATATAGCTTTACAAATGTTTCGGTTCTCATACATTTTTGACTTTCAAATATTCGGCCTTGAACATTCTTGATTGAGGTAAATCCAGAAAAGCGCTTCGGACGCATGAAATTTATAAAGTGTTTTTTTTTTTATTTTTCCGATACAGTGTGTAGAGGTAGAAATACTCTTCTTCTTATTTTTTGTATAAATAATGCATGTATTAAAAGTTCTAAAAGAGCAGAAATGCTAACATTATGTGAAACTATAATGTTATGGATCCATATCATTGTGTACGGATTTTGCCTAATAAGCGATTTTCCCTTTTTCTTCTATCTTTTTTGAAGTTTTGCATATATATCATATATCAGAGTGAAAATGTCTTACCTTATACGAAATCTTTATAATGTATTAATGTCCTTTTCCAAAATAGTTATGGATTGATATATAAACCTTACTATTCACTATAGCTGTAGGCGCTGAATTCAACAGATGTCATTTTTTCATCGTTTGATCGATAGATCGATCGTTATCATCTGGCGGAGCCTATTAATAATGCTACCAAGAAAATATTGCTTTCAATATAATAATTTCACAAACCGACAGTGCCTGTAGCAAAATATGTCAGTTTATCACATGATTAATTCCTTTCAGTATTCAATCTTATACTATTAGGATATTTTTATATTGGATATGATAAAAGTGTCACCTCTGGTCACTTGGTGGGTGAAAATTGGACAATTAAGGCCTTTATTGTTTACAGTTTATAATTTGACACGAGAAGTTTCATGACTTTTTTCTTGTGGCCTTGTCACTTGAGTTAACGATCATATTTTTTTTTATTATTGATCTAAAAGGAATGACCACCTTTACCGATCAAGGCAAAAAGACCAACTTTCATATGCACAACAGTAAAAACACACGCAAAAAAAAACTTGCAAAGTATATATCAGAAGAATAAGCTTTGACAAATGTGGATCCTATTTTCGTAATGCTAATGACTACTTTATAAAGATAAAGACTGCTGGAAAAATTACAAATTTCAGCTTAATAATTTCTTGTATTTGTTTATTTATAGGACAAATAGTATCAAACCCCAATACCGCGTGTTTTAGAGTGCTTGGAATGAATCCGAGTTAAGTGTGGCTTGATAATTTTCGGACTTTGCTCGACATTTAAATTCTAGACCCTCGACACTCCCCCCAAACCACAAAATTAAACAATGAAAAGAAATTTTGAGGTCAATGTTTTGTCTGAATGTAACAACATTTTCTATTTAAACAGGATTTGGCTGATTTCAGGGCTTTGTTTTGATGCTCTGAGATTTTATGTACTGCATTCCAAACGTAAAATAGACAGCATACCTGATGAAAGTTCTTCCAAGTAAACCTGTGCAAATTTAACAGAATTCAAAAATTCAAGAAATCAAAGAATTTAGATTTTATTTTCGTTCTTTTATATTCTAGGTTTCTTTACAAAGGAAAGTGTTAATTGCATGCCGAAACACAGAGGCTCGTATCATAGATGTTTTTGGGTCTGAATTAAGTGCCATCGACAGGTATGCATTTTAGATTGTGTATGTACGCAATCTAGAACGCATACCAGTCGACTAGCACATATTTCCAATCCAAAATCATCTATGATATTGACCCCAGTGCCTGAAATGTCATTTCTGTCTCTTCGGTGTTTTGAAAAATGCATTTCTATTTGAAATTCCAATTTCTTTAATGCTTTGATTATACCGAAATGTTAACCACTTTGCTTGATACTAATTTTTTTGGTGACCTTGGGTGTAATATGACTAAACTATTGAAACCAAATTACTCATCCTCATCCACGATAGAATCACTTTTAACGGAATCATCTTCGTTGCAGCTTTGTTTTTAAAAGTTCGACGACTCAGTGGTCGATCATCCGAATGACATCCAAATGACATTAGCATGCGTTTCACGGCGCCTCTTTTTCAAACACAAGACACGAAAGAACTATATAGCTCGACTACACGTTGATAATAACGCTGACAAATTGAATCCCCTAATGTAACATTATTATATTTATTAGCTGGACCGGTTTTTCAGTAATGATGTTGTGTTGTGTTTGGGATATTTATCGTTCCATTATTGGAATATAATAAAATTGTCTGGCTTTCGGACTTCTATGAATTGATTAATGCAGATGAAGATGTAAGAGACGTGGTTAGGATCAATATTACTCCAGCATGATTTTCAGTTTATTAAGACTGTATAATATGAAGACTAAAAGGTTTTTTAGAAACATCAGTAACGATGCATTTTGTCTAGGTTTTGTGCAGTGTTCATACTATAATTTTAGAAAATCTATTGTCTTTGGTTAAAATTAAGGAAAATTGAAACAAATGATGGAATTACCAACACTGAAATTATTTTCAGATACAGAATGCTCAGGCCAAACAAATAAGTATGTGAACGATTTCCTCCTTTAGAAAAATAGGGTTGATACGTAAGTTTTTAACCT